AAAAAAGAGAAGAGCTCATGATTACTCCCGCCAATTAACGCTGCCGGTGAAGTATTGCATGCTTTTATGTGCGACTTGAATAGTTGAATATTATGACAGTAGTCACTTGCATGCTTTTATGTGCGACTTGAATAGTTGAATACTATGACAGTAGTCACTGAATATCAATGACTGAATCACATTTTTTACTTTGTTTGTTACTTGAATATGGCAGAATACAATCAGTCTGCTGAATTTTATGAGAGTAGTCCCCATTGGATTCCTGGTAAATTGTTAGTGTTTGAACGGATGTTCTTTGGCAAAATTATCAAAGCATCAATATGTTCTGTAAATTAAATTTGTCCGAGCCGATTCTCTTTGGCAGCATTGTGACTGAACATGAAGTCGACCTTGGGGTTCGCGTATTGGCAGAATTGCGACTGGGTTCGTCGAATCTGGTAGAATTGGCATAATTGCGACTGAACGTGAAGTCGAGCCTGGGGTTCGTCGAATCTTGGAGTAGGGCTACAGTTGACCAAAAGTTGAACGGGTCAAAAAATCAACAAAATTAACCTTTTGATCCTATGAAAATAGATTGTTGACGAAAGGATTTGATCAGCTAGGTAAATATGTTTTGTGGATTTAATTGTGCTTTGTTAATATAAATGTGGGTATTGATGATGGAGAAATCAAAATGGGAATGATATACAAACTAATGTAAGAATGCAATGAAATATAATGGTACAGGTCAGTCAATAGACTCAATATTGTTTCTGCTCGGTCAATAAACACAAAGAACGAAATAGAGATTTTCACAAAGAAGCACTAATGAGTCGATCAATATACTCAATATAGTTTCTGCTCGGTCAATAGACTCAAAGAACGTGACAAAGATTCTCGCAAGGATATATATAGTTACTGTAACTCAAAATCTATTCATCATGTTGTATTTAACTGATTGGACAAATGCATTTAATGCGTCTTGCTATCCCATGAGTCCCATACTTGCAGAGGCGTAGTTTCCCATCATTAGGCTGCAAGTGACCTTTATATTTTTTAAAATTTAAAATATTTTTTCTCATTAATTTTAAAATTAAAGAATAATTTTTTAACAAGCACACGTGTAATACACGGGCGTTGTACTAGTACTATATATTTGAAAAAAAAAATGCCTTGTATAGAAACATAAGGTGAAAACTATTTTTTAATGAAAAATTATAAAATTTCAGATTTTTAATATATATTAAATAAAAATATAGTTATTAATATTGATGTAATATAAAAATAGTAAATATTATTTTGACAAATTCAGTAGCTAGTAGTATGATATGAATGGATGAATAGTATTTTGATTGGTAACTATAAAATAATAAATACTTTTTGTTTTTATTAAATTATGTTAATTAACTGAAAAATTCAATTAAATAAATAGTTATTTTATTTTATTTATTTTTTCGGAACGGGCTCGGATAATCCAAATCCAACAACAGTAACCCAATTTTTTTCAGGGAGTCCAGCTGAGTCTCTCCCCAATTTTCCCTTTCCGACTATCAAAAACCCTTGCATACTGCTTTAAACCCTGAGCATCTTCCCCAAATTCGTTCGATTTTATCTTCCATTTTTAGCTGTTTCTAAATTATATATCTGAATAATCCTCTCCGGTCGCTTCCGGTGATACATCTCTTGCAGTTTTCCGTTTAATGGAAAGTTCGCATTTTTCCAGATTGGATGCAAATCAACCCCTTGAGCTTGTTTATAGCTGCAATTTAGTGCGTCTCATAGCATTTCTGGCAAGAAATGCTTCACAGGTATAATGGGGCGTGCCCAATTTTCAGTATACAGTTGCCATGTACGCCGTAGTCCTTTTAGGTCGAAGAGTTTTGAAGGGGCCTTTTTGTTTCCCTGTTGTTTCTCGTACTTTATGTTGTCAGAGCTCAAACGGTGATGATATGGATAGTGGGTTTGGGCGCATTGAGGATTTTCTCAACGAATCATGGAAAATGTCGAAAGATGGGGAGGAGGAAAAGGCGTCAAATTTGCACGATTCACTTGGTCTTGAGGGCAATTTCTGCGCGAGAAAAGGGTTTATTGATAGCGTGAAAACGGACGCCGCACTAGTTCTCGAAGTTCTTCACCAGGACGGGCCGGGCTTCGATGTGAAGCCCGTCCTGAGTGAATTGGGCTTGAGGGTTTCGGGTCTTCTCGTGAGAGAAGTTCTTTTCCGCATATTGAGAGAAATAAACTATGTTAACAAGAACAGATGCGCGAAGCTGGGGTACAAATTCTTTGTGTGGTCTGGTGAGCAGGAGAACTACAAGCACACAGTTAGCATTTACCACGTGATGATGGATATTTTTGCAGAGTCCGAGGAATTCAAGGCAATGTGGAGATTAGTCGATGAAATGACCGAAAAAGGGTACCCCACCACAGCCAGGACTTTCAATATACTGATATGCACCTGTGGTGAAGCTGGTATAGCTAGAAAGATTGTGGAGAGGTTCATTAAATCCAAGACTTTTAACTACAGGCCGTTTAAGCATTCGTACAGCGCAATTTTGCATTCTCTCTTGACCATGAATCAATACAGACTCGTCGAGTGGGTTTATCAGCAGATGCTAGCCGAGGGCCACACGCCCGATGTTTTCACCTACAACATCATCATGTGTGCGAAGTTTCGGCTCGGAAAGCTCGAGCAGTTTCACATACTACTCGACGAAATGGGCCGAAGTGGATTCTCGCCGGATTTCCACACATTCAATCTTCTCCTACACGTTCTTGGTAAAGGGGACAAGCCTTTAGCTGCGCTTAAGCTTCTGAATCACATGAAAGAAGTTGGAGTCCAGCCTGGCATTCTCCACTTCACGACGCTAATTGACGGGCTGAGTCGGGCAGGTAATTTGGAGGCCTGCGAGTATTTTTTCAACGAGATGATGACAAAGCACGGGTGCCTCCCGGATGTCGTTTGCTACACTGTCATGATAACGGGCTATGTCGTGTCGGGCAATTTCGATAGTGCACAGAAGATGTTTGATGAAATGATCAAAAGAGGTCACTTACCTAACGTTTTCACGTATAATTCGATGATACGTGGGCTCTGTATGGAGAGGAGGTTCGAGGAGGCCTGGTTGATGCTGAAGGGAATGGAGTCGAGAGGCTGTAACCCTAATTTTCTCGTGTACACTACTTTGGTTGGGTACCTGCGAAATGCGGGAAAGCTGCGCGAGGCTCATGAGGTTATAAAGCATATGGTGGAGAAGGGGCAGTACGGTCATTTGCTGTCGAAAATCAAAAGATACAGGAGATGTTGAAGGTGGGTAGAAAAAAAAAAACAGCCTCTTTGGTTTGGGAAAATTATGCTGTAATGTGTTGAGATTCTTTCCATCCCATACTCCATAAGCCATGTAAGTCTCGGCAGGTCCCCAATCTTGACGAGCCATAAGTTGTGGTTTTTATTGTAATGATGATATAGTAGCTTTGTTTCCCCTCATTTTTTCTTGCAGTGGATAGAATAAATACTCTCTTCTTGTGGGTTTCTGAGTAGAAATGTTATGTGCTTCGGTTCTTGGTGAAACAAGCTCAGGTAAGTGTATAGAACTGATAACAGGACATAATTGCTGATAGGAAATAGTTCGATCTCTGCTATATTATTAGAATGTCAATCGTGTGCCCGTTTTATTGCTAATTGCTCCCCTTGAAACAGCTACTGTTAGCTGATCATGTGTAAATTTAGGGATGAGTGTTGTCTTGTTGTGAAGTAACATTAGGAGACTTTGTAGATGTTCTGGTTATCTCTTGTGATCTGAAACACGTGCAACTTTGATTTTGTGATATTATTCATGTGTCTTTCTGAAGAGTTTTGATATTCATCTGTTATTAAGGTCCTCAATTCTGTAGGACCAAACCATTGTCATCAGATGCTTGAAAAGCAAAAAGAGAACACCCAATTGCATTAGCACAGGCAAATTGTTTTTATTAATTTTGTTCGTTTTCTGGGAATCTTTGGCAAATTTGTCAGTTGGAAAACGACCCATGAGTACTTGAAGAATCCATTTATAATTCACTCAATTTGCAAATATTTATATTTACTCTAACCGATTTTGCTATGAAGTCAGCAGTTATAGTGAAACCAGCCTTCTATATACAACAAATAAATCATACCATATTAGTAAAATTATTAGTATTTATTTAAATAATCAGAGAATATGGTAAGTTTATTTGTCGTATATAGAAAGTTGACTTCACTATAGATCCAACTGTTGGCTTCATAGTAAAAACCGCTACACTGAGACGGCTATTAAACATACTTAGCCCATCGTATATTTTTCAATAAAAATGTGCAGATGTAATAGTTAATGTTAGGCCGTCTTAATTTAATAAATGTGCATACTATCAAACTGAAATGTATACTACTTTATTGTAATATACAATTATATGATATACTATCAAATATTCTATGGAGCCCTCGAATGGTTTTCTTATGGAATCATCCATCACTTAATATATTGATACATGTCCAAAGTTTATTTATTATAGGACACGTGTCAATATACCATTAATGAATAAATGTTGATTGTTCCATAAACTCAGTCATCCTATGACTTCATAGCAAAACTAGATATACTATATGATATGTAACTAAAATCATGAGGGAATGCGTGACCAAATTGATTTTGTATTGCCAATAGGGATTTAATAATATAGATATTCTTAAAAACACTTGAGGAGATGGGGCATACATATATTTTATTTTTCTTTGCTTTTTCAACAATATCTGCATGCATAAATTTCAATCCCTAAAATTATTGCATAGAAACTTGTCTTAGTTGTCTAACATAACAAGGCCAAGTGCAATCAAATTAATATTTTCTGATAGTTCAATGGAAACTTTCATATCATATGAATTAAAAACATATAATTTGTAAATCATTTGCTCATCATACCATATTGGGAAAAAAATTCCCAAAAATTTATCCAAGGATAAGATAAAACACTGAAAAATAATCCCAAAACACAAAAATAAAAAATAAAAATGAAATATTTATTAATGTTTTTTTTCCTCTACCTTCTTCTCCTCTTTATTTTCCTCTTTCTTCTCTTCTTTCTTCTCCTCTTTCTTTTCTTCCTTTTTCTCTTCCTTTTTTTCTTCTTTTTTCTCCTCTTTTGCTGGACCAACTGATAAGATATCAACTTTACCAACTTTCTTCAGTTTCTTCACAACAGCAACAGCATCCATCTCACCAATAACTGTTAGCTTTTGGGTATTCAGATCAGCAGCAATTGAGTCCACCCCTTTTTTTTT